AGGTAGATGATAGAATAGAGAGCCCAGAAATAAATCCTTGTCAATATAGTCAAATAATTTTGACTGTCAAGACCATTCCATGGGGAAAAGGACAGTCTTTTCAACAAATTTTGTTGGGAAAACTGGATATCCACAGGCCAAAACAATGAAGTTGAACCCTTAATTTGTACTGCATACAAAAATTAACTCATAGTGGATCAAAGACCTAAACATAAGAGTAAAAATTATAAAATTCTTAGAAGAAAATATAGAGACTGGGGGGGGGAGGAGGAAATTGGGGAGTGACTTTGTGGATATGACACCAAAATGACAAGTAATCTAAGTAAAAATAAATAGGACTGCATTAGAATCAAAAACTTCTTATCAAAGGACATGATTCTTTTAATTTTATTTTTTAGAGACAGGGTCTGACTCTTTCGCCCAGGCTAGAGTTCAGTGGTGTGATCATAGCTAACTATAACCTCAAACTCCTGAGTTCAAGGGATCCTCCTGCCTCAGCCTCCCATAAGGCTGGGATTACAGGTCTGAGCCACATACCTGGCCCAAAGGACATAATTAATAGAGCAAAATGGTAACTCATGGAATCAAAAAAAATAGGCAACTAGTATATCTGATAAGGGGGTAATATCTGGCATATTTAAAGAATTCCTAATACTCAACAAGAAAACAACCCAACTAAAAAATGGGCAAAAAACTTGAATAGACATTTGTCCAAGAATGATATATAAATGGCCAATAATCACATAAAAAGACACTCAATATCACTAATCATAAGGGAAATGCAAATCAAAACCACAATGAGATACCACCTCACACCCATTAGGATGGATACTATCAAAAAGAAAAAAGAAGCATTGGCTAGGATGTAGAAAAATTGTAACCCTTGTACACTTTGATGGTACGGTAAAATACTGTAGCCCCTATGAAAAACGGTATGGTAGTTCCTCAAAAAATTAAAAATATAATTACCATATGATCCAGCAATTCTACTTTGGGGTATATATCCAAAAGATTTGAAAGTAGGGTCTTGAAGAAATATTTATATACTCATGTTTACAGCAGTACTATTCACAATAGCCAAAAGGAGGAAGCAAGTGTTGTTTATCTGATGAATAAACAAAATGTGATATATGCATACATATATTTAGTTTTAAAAAGGAATGGAATTCTGACACATTCTATAATGGATAAATCTTGAGAATGTTATGTCAAGTGAAATAATCCAGTCATGGAAAGACAAATACAGTTATAATTCTACTTATATGAGATATCTACAGTAATCAAAGTTCACAAAGACAGAATGTAGAATGCTGGTTGTCAGGGTTTAGGGGGAAGGGAGAACGGGGAGTTATTGTTTAATGTCTATAGAGTTTCAGTTTTGCAAGATTAAGCGAGTCCTGGATATTAGTTGCACAAAAATATGGATGTACCTAACACTACTTGAACTGTACACTTAATGGTTAAGATGGTAAATTTATGATGTAATGTAAACTACAATTAAAATAAAAAGGTATTTAACACTGATTTACTTTAACCCATGAAGTAAAAATGAATTTCATAATGATGTACTTTTTACCAGAATTAAAATCAAATAAAATGAATGAAATACTGATACATGGTATAACATCATGAACCTTAAAAATATTATGCTTAGTGAAAGAAGCCAGACATGTATGACTATATATTGTATGATTCCATTTATATGAAATGTTGAGAATGGACAAAATCATAGACAGTATATTAGTGGTTTCCAGGGGGCTAGAGTGAGGGAGGTATCGTGAGTAGTTGCTTATGAGTACATGGTTTCTTTTTGAGGTGATAAAAATGTTCTGGAATTAGATAGTGGTGATGGTTGCAAAATTTGGTGAATATACTTTAAAATGCTGAATTATATACTACAAAAAGATACATGTTATGCTATATGAGTTAATTTTCAACAAAAAACTGAAACACAAATATCCATTCAGGGAGAATTAAATAAAAATTATGGTGAGTCCATAAAATGGGATCATATGCAGCCACTAAAAAGACATTAAAAAGTGAGGAGGCTATATCGTTAGGTTAAAACCAACAATAACTAAGTATAAAACTGATTATATGATCACCTTTGAGAGATAAAAACCAATACATATGCAGATAGAGGCATCTCACACAGTTATCTCTGTGTATCAAGTATGTTTGCACACTTGACCTTTCCCCCAAGTAATTATTTAAAAGTGATCATAATGGTCAACTTTGGAGATTTTTAGTTTTCATTTGGTATCTTTCTGAAGTATTTTTATAACATTATATTATTTATCTCTTTTATTTATGTATTCTTTTGAATGTTTATAGAGGTTATCCAGGCAGGCAGATATAGACCTTTTAGCTTTCTTCTTCATATTTCTTATTCTAAAAAATTCCCTGGTAAAATATCACATTAATAAAATAAAACAAAAAAAAATCATGTGCAGTCTCTCTCCAAATTATTCTTAGTTTTCATTTTATAAGAATGTTACAGGAACTCTACTTTCTAATATTTATTTTTATTATTATGAATACATAATAGTACATACTTATGAAGCACATGTGATATTTTGATACAAGTGTACAATATGTAATGATCAAATCAGGGTAATTGGGATATCTATCACCTGAAGTATTTATCATTTCTTTGTTTTAGGAACATTTCAATTCCAATCTTTTAATACAATAAATTATTTTTAACTATAGTTGCCCTATTATGCTACCGAACACTAGATCATATTCCTTCTATCTAACTATATTTTTTGTACCTGTTAATCATCCTATCTTTATTCTCCCTCCCCACTACCCTTTCCAGCCCTTTAAATTTGTACTTACAACAGTGAACAGAGAAGTCTTTTATATTTGCATATCTAAGAGAGAAATTCTTGGACTTAAGATGAAAAGCTAATTTCCAAAAGAAATCATAATGCATCAGCCAAGTTCTCAATTTAAAAAAAAAAATACTAAATGAAAACAGGTTACTATCACCCAGAGGTGGGTTTAGCTTTGTTCTCTGTTTTCCTTCTTTGAGCACTGTAAATTATGAAAGAACTTAGGATCTGTAGCACTTCTCAAAATCTGGCTCAACATTCTTTTAACCTAACAGTGCCTTCTTCTGGTTCCATGATTCACATTTAGCTGGTTCATTGATGTTGAAAAAAGCTTCACTTGACGATGATGGGAAAAGATCATTTTGAAACCTGGAAGGAAAAAAACTTTAGTTTTCCTTTCTATTATAACAAAACAAACAGAAATCCAGTTGCATGTATAATAGTGGTCGCCAAGGACTGGAAAGAGAGGAAAATTGGGGAGTTTTTTTCTTTTTTTTTCCATTTTTTTTTATTTTGGCATATTATGGGGGTACAGATTTTAAGGTTTCAATAAATGCCCTTCCCCTCCTCCCCCCACAAGTCTGAGTCTCCAGCATGACCATCCCTCAGATGGTGCGCATATCACTCGTTATGTATGTATTGGGGAGTTTAATGGATATGAAAAGTTCTGGAGATTGGTTGTACAAGAATGAGAATATACTTAACACTACTGAACTGTACATTTAAAAATGGTTAAGATGGTAAAGTTTATGTTATATATATTTTACCACAATTAAAAATAAATAAACAAATAAATATAGGTGTAATATGATCAATTTTGGTTGATGGCAGCAGCCCCAAGTTGGGACTGTTTTCACTTCAAATCAAATGTTTACCATATATCAAACCCACCTGTATTTGATATAATTTTTAACATTCCTGTCATTTTACTAAAATAGGCACATATTTCTCTTAATTTCCCTTAATTTACTAAAACTATAGCTACAGAACACCTGAATTTTCTGTCTTTATTAGCAGCATCTGCTACAAAACCACAGGATCAATTTATTTCCCCAACATTTACTGAGTACCTAATTTGTGTAAAGGGCTGTGCTGGGTGCTTGGAGGAAGGTAGTGATGATGGAGATGAGAGGTAGTTATAATTGTAAGTGTTTTAAATGTATTATCCCTGGTGATGACAACAGTTTTGCAAGGAAGAAATTATTATGCCCTGGAAACCAAAGTTCCAAGAATTTAATTAATTACTTAAAGATCACAGAGCTTATAAATAGCAGAGTTTATTAACAGCCAGTTCTATTTTGACATTAAATGTTGAAATTTCTTGAACTTTCTCCATTAAAAAACATTGAGGACAATGCTGGTAAAGTGTGGTCTAGTTTGTCTATAGCCAAAGGGAGATTAATCTGAAGGCTATTTGAATGATCAAAGTCTAAGAAGTTCCAGAAATCTTTTCTTTTAAGACACTTTGTAACGTCTAGTTATTTACCATATATCATAGAATATAACATACCAGCAATAGTAAGACAAGTCATTATTTTCCAAACCTGTAAAAAATTTTTTTAAAAAGTTGCTAATTAAAGTATGGTTTACTATAAATTGTCAGGTTTCAGAAATTTCCTGCATGTTGAAATATGGAAAAAAAATGTAGTAAGCCTTCAAAGACTTATTGCAAAGGCTTACAAACTTGTTAAATATGAAAAAAGTGATCTTATACTTTATGACGTGGTATTTATGTTCCACATTCACTTTTCATGGTCAGTGCTAGTGTATGCTATTCTATTCTTCACTCTAGTCACCTTACATGTTTGCATATTGCTTTTTAAATGGTCATAGCTAGTTGTATGGCTCTATGATGTGCATCTGCAACTGGACTGTAAAGCTCTTGAATAATTTCTTTGGTTACAGGACCCCTCCCCCTCATATATCCATAAGCCATACATAGTTTACTACTTAGAGGTAAACTTGAATTTTTTCTAATCTTAAAATTACATAGATTGTATAAAACTCTCCATAAATTTAGTTGCACTAGGCAGGGGGCGGGGTGCGATGGAAAAACACTATATATAATAAAGGCATCATTTTTCAAGACCCATCTTTGTAGAAACGTTAAAATGCGGTGAGGTAGGGAGGCGAGTGGAGGCGGAGAGGGGATATACGTCTCGGGATACAGGAAATACGGTAAGAGCGAACCGGGAAGAAGCCAGCTCTGTGCCTGGAGGGGACCCGCCGCCATCTCAGGTCTCTAGGCCTTGCCAGGGCCCACCGGAGAAAACTGACGCCCAGAATCTATAATCCTTATGGGGGACCAACCTTGTGCCTCCGGTAGATCCACGCTCCCACCTGGAAACACGCGGGAAGCCAAACCTCCAAAAAAGCGCTGCCTCCTTGCTCCGCGGTGGGATTATCCAGAAGGAACTCCCAACGGAGGTAGTACCACTCTCCCCTCCGCACCTCCTCCGGCTTCAGCCAGCCTGAAGTCGCACCCTGCTCCTCCTGAGAAGTAGTGAAATATATTTCACCCACCCCAAACCAGGTCAGGTTCTTTCTTTCTTACCTGGGACATCCAGGCTCTCTGAAACTTATTTATGCATTTGCCCAGATCTCCTTCCCCTTTTCCTTGTCTTCTTTCCACGATTTCAAAATAGCAGAAAGAACATGCAGGCATTAAACAGCTCTTTCACAAAATATGCTTGGATGAGTGATAGATGTTTAGTTATATTAAATAATTGTTTTAATATTTTAGATGTGATAATTGTGGTTATATCTTATAACAAATAGACTTGAATCTTTTGATGTGTTTGAAAGTAATCTAGTAAGGCCCAGGTAGGGGGAAATATAATCAAAGTGCTCATGAGTTGATAATTTAAACCTGGATAATGTATATGTGGGGATTTATTATACCATTCACTCTACTTTTGTGTATATTTGAAATTTTTCTATTTAAAACAATGCCTGGTTTAAGACCAATAACAATCATATATGGAAGGTCTAATGCCTATGCCCAGCACTGTACTAACAGAAGGGATTGTAAAGTAAGCCTTCAGAAGTGTATGTCTTTCTTTGTGTAAGGTGGGAGACTTTAATAAGTGAAAAAACAGCGCTACAATATGATGGTCAAATCCAAGTTCCATAATGTTTGCTTGTTCAAGGTATTCAGGAAGCATGGAGGATGGACCAAGTCTCTCTGCCTGGTAGTAATCATGAGCCATTTAGAGGAAGGGGGAAACTTTGGGTGGGCCTTAAAGGGTGAGTGATATCTGCCACGCAGAGGGGGAGGGAATGTTTCTCAGGCCTCAGGGTTCCAGATCAAAAGCCCCAAGGCCAGCTTGTTCTGGAAACAACTCCACCATAATAATTCTGAGTCTGTAAGAAAGACTTGGAGGTGAAGATAGAGTGCTTCAGGGACTTGAATGTTATGCTGAGTATGCTGTTTATTCCCCAAGCAGTGGCAACCATAGAAGACTTTCAAGCAAGTGATATTATTTGTATTTCAAGAGTCTAGTTCTTACTATTAGAGAAGCACTTTCTGGTAGTAATTTAGATGAGCTTTATAGAATGCAAAATATAAAACCAAATATGACCCAAGTCTCCTAGATCCTTGTAATCCAAAGGAGAGAGGCATCCTTTTTTCATACATACAATAAACCTTTATGGAGCTCTTACAATGGGGAGGAATTGTGCTGGAAGTTGTAGGGGATAGATAGCCAAGGCATAGTAGCTGGTACATATTAGAAGTGAAATAGCTATTTGAATAAATAAGTCAATGAATGATGGGATAACACTGGCCACCAAGGAGATTCTAGATAACAGGGTTTAGTGGTAGTACATTTAAAAAGCATCTCCTGTCATTCCACACAGCCTTATTTCTCTAATCTTTACCTCTATCCAAAGGGGTAGTGGGTTCAGGGTGTAAGCTGAGCAATGCTCAGATAGAAAACAAAAAAAAGTTATTTAGGACAAAAGTGTAAGAGCTACATAATTCCCGCACCCCCCCCCCCCGTGATTCACATCATTGAAAATTGTAATAATACACAAAATTTATTGAAGAGTTTTTATGTACCAGACATTGTTCTAAGGGGCTTTGCATGTTTTAATTTATTTAATAACAACAACTCTAATAGGGAAATTTGTATGGGCCAAGGGAAGTTGTATAACTTGCCACAAGTTATATAGCACTAAGTGGCTGAGCTGGGCTTTGAACCCAGAAGTTTGATTCTAGAGTCTATACTCTAAACTGCTATATTATACACCCCTTCTAATAGTATGTACACAACTGTTTTATAGGAGTATAACATTGAAATGGGAGCAAGGTGGAGCATAAGGACTTGAGGAAACTTGGAGAAAAAGAGATGGACAGTAACATAACAAATTATGTCACTGTATTTTTACTATTTTTCAGTTTATGAGGGATTGCAGTATGAATCCATTTCATTGGTGCATTCATAAAATAGTTCACCCAGTGAAGACAACGAAGATTATTTACAATGCTATCCTGCTATTTCCGATGTCCTGCACCTGGAACTTGTAATTTTTAAGGTAATCTCTTTACCAAAAATTTATTAGAGGAAGAGGAGGAGCTGGTTTTGAGAAATTAAAAACAACTAGCCAAATAAAACCTAAAAATCTAGTACCAAATGATAAAATGGAAACCATTTTCTACATTATATGAAACTGTATGCACTAATAATAATAATATAATTTGCAAAATGTTTTTAGATTAATTTCTAATTATCATATCATTACTGTAAAATGTATCTTTTTTTTTTTTTTTTTTGAGACAGAGTCTCACTTGAACCTCAAACTCCTGGGCTCAAGCGATCCTCCTGCCTCAGCCTCCCGAAGAGCTGGGACTACAGGCATGTGCCACCATGCCCGGCTAATTTTTTCTATATATATGTTAGTTGGCCAATTAATTTCTTTCTATTTATAGTAGAGACGAGGTCTCACTCTTGCTCAGGCTGGTTTCGAACTCCTGACCTTGAGCAATCCGCCCGTCTCGGCCTCCCAGAGAGCTAGGATTACAGGCGTGAGCCACCACGCCCGGCCTAAAATGTATCTTTTAAACTATATTTTCTAATTGTTTCTGGTAAATGGGAATATGGTGATATTTAATATATTGATTTTATATGCTGCAGCCTTTCTGAATTCTATTTGTCCTAATAATTTATAGATTTCCTTAGAGTATATGTTAATTAATTGTACTATAAATAATGGCAGTTTCTTCCTTTCCATTTTTTTTTTTTAGCTTCTCTTACTATGCTAGCTAGGATCTTCAGTACAAAGAGAAATAATAGCATTGGTAGAGGATTTCCTTATCTTGCTCCTGAATTCTACAAAAGTTTCAATTTTTTAGTGGATTTTCTTTCTCAGGTTAAGGATGTTCCTTTATACTCTTAATTTGCTGAGAGTTTTTATTATAAATGATTATGAAGTTTTTTAACCAATTGCTTTCTTCATTACCTACTGCCATGATCATATGCTTTTTTTCCTCTATTGCTATGACAGTGTAACCATGTGTTAAATTATAATAATCAATTTTCTAATGTATTGACTGCTTTGGGTTTCATTAAGCCCTACCATATAATAGTGTTTCCTATTTTAATAATTTTAGCTTTTATCTTTATATTTCACTTTCTTCTGCTTTCTTTTTATTTGGTATTTTTCTAATTTTATTGAGTTGGACCTTTAGCTTGTTAGTTTTCCATCTTTTTTAAAATAAGAATTTGGGGCTATAAAGGTTTCTCTAATGTATTTAGAACAATTTCATGGGTTTTTATATGTAGTATGTTTATTATCATTTAATATTTATTATTTTAAAATTTCTTCTATGATCAGCCATAAAAAAATGAGCTACTTGTTATATTATCCTCATCTAAGTGAAGTATCACAAGAATGAACAAATGCCACATGTATTCACCAATAAATTGATACTAATCGATCAACACTAAGGTGCACATATGGGAAGTAACATCCATAGGGTGTTAGGCAGGTAGGAGAGGGGAGGAGGGGATGGGTAAATTCACACCTAATGGATGCAGTGTTTTCTGTCTAGGGGATGGGTACACTTGTAGCTCTGACTTGGATGGTACAAAGCCAATTTATGTAACCCAAGCATTTGTACCCCCATAATACTCTGAAATTTAAAAAAATAATAATTAAAAAAAAACTCTATGATTTCTTCATTGACCCATGAATTTGATGTTTTAATTTCCAAACATAGGGGCATCCTTTTAAAAAACTCATATGATGAAATCATTAGTACAGTTACAGGTAAACTTCATCTTTTTTTCAGTTTTAAAATTTTTTTAAATCATTCTTTTTGTGTGTTTGTAAATTTTTTATTTCAAAATATTATGGGTGTACAAATGTTTTTGGTTATATGGATCACTTTTGTTATGCTTGAGTCAGGGTTATAAGTGTGCCCATCACTGAGATAGTGTTCCTTATACTAGATTTTTGCCCATCCCCTCCTCCCCCCTCACCTTTTCTTGATTTCAACTGAGTTTTACTTGCCTCTGTGCACATTTGTGTTCATGGGTTTGTTCCAGTTTAATAGTGACTACATGTAAGTAGTTAATTTTCCATTCTTTAGATACTTCACTTAAGATAGTGGTCTCCAGTTCCATCCAAATTGGTGCAAAAGGCCTTAATTCATCCTTCTTCATGGGTGTGTAGTATTCTGTAGTATACACATACCACATTTGTTACTCCACTCCTGAATTGATGGACACTTGGGTTGATTCCACATCCTTGCAGTTGTGAATTGTGCTGCAGTAAATATTCAAGTGCAGATATCTTTTTTATAAAATGACTTATTTTCCTTTGAGTTTACCCAGTCGAGGGATTGCTGGATCAAATGGTAGATCTACTTTTAGTTCTTTGAGAAATCTCCATACTGTTTTCCATAGAAGTTACACTAATTTGCCGTCCAACAGTATATAAGCGTTTCTTTTCTCTCTGCATCCATGCCAGCATCTATTGTTTTTAAACTTTTTAATAAAAGCCATTCTAATTGGGGTAAGGTGATATCCCATTATGGTTTTAATTTGCATTTTCCTGGTGATTAGTGACGTTGAGCATTTTTGTAAATGTTTATTGGCTATTTGTCTATCTTTTGTTGAAAAGCTTCTGTTCATTCTTTTGCCTACTTTTTAACAGGCTAGTTGGTCTTTTTCCTGCTGATTTGCCTGACTTCTTTGTAGATTTTGCTTATTAGCCCTTTATTGGATATATAGCTTATAAATATTTTCTCACATTCTATAGGTTGACTATTTCCTCTTTTGATTATTTCCTTAGCTGTGCAGAAGCATTTTAGTTTAATCAAGTCCCATTGATTAATCTTTGTTGTTGTGATTGCCGTCAGGGTCTTATTCATAAATTCTTTGCCTAGGCTGATATCTATTAATAGAAGGGTTATTCCAACATTTTCTTCTAGCATTCATATGGTTTCATGCCTTACATTTAAGCCTTTTATCCATCTTGAATTAATTTTTGTGAGTGGTGAGAAATATGGCTCCTGTTTCATTCTTCAACATGTGGCTATCCAATTCTCTCAGCACCATTTATTAAATAGGGCTTCTTTTTCCCAGTGTGCGTGGTTCTCTGCTTTGTCAAAGAACAGTTGGCTGTAAGTAGATGGTTGAATATCTGACTTCTCTATTTTATTCCATTGGTCTATGTCTCTATTTTTGTGCCCATACTATGCTGTTTTGATTACCATAGCCTTGTAATATAGTTTGAAGTCTGATAATATGATGCCTTCAGATTTGTTCTTTTTGCTTAAGATTGCTTTGGCTATTCAGGCTCTTTTCTGGTTCCAATCAAAGCATAGATTCATTTTTTCTAGATCTGTGAAATATGACCTTGGTGTTTTGTTGGGGATTGCATTGAATCTTTTAATCACATTTGGGTAGTATGGATATTTTGACAATGTTGATTCTACCAAATCATGAGCATGATATGTTTTTCCATTTTTTTGTGTCATCTGTGATTCCTTTCCTCAGAGGTTCATACTTTCCCATGTAGAGATCTTTCACCTCCTTGGTTAACTATATTCCTAGGTGTTTTATTTTCTTTATACATATTGTGAATCTTATTGAGTATTTGATTTGACTCTCAGCCTTACTGTTATGAACATGTAGAAATACTACTGATGTATGTACATTGATTTTGAATCCTGAGACTTTGCTGAATTTATTTATCAATTCCAGGAGACTCTTGGTGGAATATATGGGGCTTTCTAGATACAAGATCATGTTATCAGTAAAGAACAATAGTTTGACCTCTTCTTTTCCAATGTGGATATCACTAATATTCTCTTGTCTAATGGCTCTGGCTAGAACTTCTAGCACTATATTGATTAGAAATGGTGACAGTGGGCATCCTTGTCTTGTTCCAGCTCTTAGGGGGAATGTTTTCAACATTTCCCCATTCAGTATGATATCGAGTGTGGGTTTGTCATATATGACTTTTATAATTCTGAGATATATTCCTTCTATACTTAGTTTGTTGAGGGGTTTTAACATGAAAGCATGCAGGATTTTGTCAAATGCTTTTTCTACACCTGTTGAGAGGATCATATGATCTCTGTTTTTGCTTTTGTTTATGTGGTAAATTGCATTTATTCATTTACATATGTTGAGTCATCCTTGCATACCTGTGATGAAGCACACTTGGTCCTGGGGATTATATTTTTAATGTGCTATTGAATTCAGTTTACTATTCTGTATTCTATATTTGCATCTCTATCCATAGGAGATATTGGTCTGTAGTTTTCTTTCTTTTTTTTTTTTTTTTTTTGAAGAACAGTCTCCACTTGTTGCCCAGGCTAGAGTGAGTGCCTGTGTGTCAGCCTGGCCACAGTCAAAAAAAAAAAAAACCTCAATCTCCTGGGCTCAGCGATCCTACCTGCTCAGCCTCCCGAGTAGCTGGGACTACAGGCATGTGCCACCATGCCCGCTAATTTTTTTTTTGTATATAATATTTTAGTTGTCAATTAATTTCTTTCTATTTTTGGTAAGAAGACGGGGTTCGCCTCAAAGGCTGGTTTCGAACTCCTGACCTTGAGCAATCCGCCCGCCTGGGCCTCCCAAAGTGCTAGGATTACAGGCGTGAGCCACTGCGCCCGGCCTGTAGTTTTCTTTTTATGCTATGTGCTTTCCTAGGTTTGATGTCAAGGTGATACTGGCTTTATAAAATGAGTTGGGGAAGATTGCCTGCATCTCAATATTATCAAATAATTTTGGTGTTATGGGTAGTAGATGTTCTTTATAGGTCTGATAGAATTCAGCAGTGAATCCATCTGGTCCAGGGCATTTTTTACTGGGAGCTTTTTTATGACTATGTCAATCTCACTCTTTGTTACTGGTCTTTTCAGGAGTTTTCTTTGTTCCTGGTTAAGACTTAGGATGTTGTGTGTTTCCAGGAGCTTGTCAATTTCCTCTGTATTCTATAGTTTATGTGTGTAGAGACTTATATAGTATTCATGGGTGATCTTTTGTATTTCTGCAATATCAGTTGTAATGCCACCATTTTCC